TGACAATATGTATTTGTTCCTTTCTCTTTTTTTCTCAGAGGACTTATTTTCTATTTTGTTCAGAATATACTGACCAAGTGAAGTTACTGATAATTTCTTTCTTCCTTTCTTTTATTTAATTCCAAAAAAAAAATTCACACAGCTCTGAGAGGATATGTGATAACAAGAACTTCCAGTGTTCGTATTGCCTTTGGCATGCTGTAAACTTTTCACTCCTAATTTAAAAGTGAAGATCTCAAGCACCACTTCTCTAGCTACAGCATTCAGTGTGATTGTCCTATTTGTACAATATATTCTGAAACCCTTCATACTGTTGAATCCCCAGAGGTTCTCATTTTACTCTACCTATACCCATTAAATTTTAAAATATTCTGTTTTAATATATATCTTTTTGTAGTCTGCCTTTCAGGTTTTGTGGGCTTTGTTTTCTACTGTATTCTTTCAATTCATCTCAAAGAAGAACAGAGAAGTTGATAATTTTTGAGTTGAGAGTCATGTCTTGCAAATACCCAACAAAGAAACAACATACTTCACCTCAAAGACAATATTACACCTAATGATGAGGTGTGAACTCAGAGAGAGAAGTATTTTTGTTCTTTTTTTACGTTAGATTATTAAAGGAGGACGAGACTCCTTCTTTCAGAGCCTTATGTTTTCCACTGTAATTTCAGAGATGGAGGTACTCAGTGAAGGATTTTATTTGGTTACAGATTTTGACCTGGGAGTGAGTTCATCAGGTTAGTTTGGGCTTTATAGAGATTCTATTAATTATCTTTAATAACTGATCCACACATCTGAAGATCATCCATATTCGTGAATGCAACTGATTTCAACAGTGTTATGGCCTGTATGTAAGACAGATGTGGATTCCTTTATATAATTAAAGGTTAAAAATATATTATTTCAAGAAAACATGGAATACATTTTATAGAAGGCATAACACACACCAAAAACAATGTTAGAACATAAATCCTTGAATAAAATTWAAAAAAAAAAATGAAAAAAGGCCTCTTTTTTTTCTGGTTTTCCACAACAAATAATGCTAGCTCAGCGGAACCCCTTTCCTCCTCCCTTATAGCTTTGGGCAACACTCTACTTTTAGTAGTCCTAGATTTATGGCAGTGGAAGAACCATGAGGAAGCTGAGATACCATCTTCAATCCTATATCCATGATCATCTCTTCTCTCTTACTCTCTCCACAGTGACACACAATAATAACATATAAAAAATGTTCTAATCAAATATAAAAAAGTCTGCAGCATTTCTCAGAAATTCAAAATAAAATAAATTGTCCTGAAATTAATTACAGAAAATATTTGTGAATGTAAAAAAATCACATAAATGCACTATTTCAGACAGCTAAATCTCATTTTTCTCCCCTAAAAAGGCAAATTAAGAAACACAAGTAAACGAACAAACAAAACCAGATTGTTTCAGGCAATTTGCATGAAATCTCATCTTGATTTCTTCTGTTTCAYGTTACTAATTTTGAAACCTTGTAAGGGAAGATACTAGTCAGCCCTAGTTAAGAGTCATTTATAATAGCATTACTGATATAAATACATCAACATTCGAATATTTGTAACTCTATTTGTAACTCTCCACTATTAATTTAGTATATACACATATTTATTATTATATATAGCAAGAGAGGGTGGGAGTGATTGAACACTGAACAGAATCACACAGAATCCCAGAATATTCAAGGTTGGAAGGGACCTCTAGAGATCATCTAGTCCAACCATCCTGCTCAAGATGGGACACCCAGAGCATGTGGCACAGGGTGGCATCCAGGAGGGTTTTGAAGACCTCCAGAGAAAGAGACTCCACAACCTCCCTGGGCAGTCTGTTCCACTGCTCTGTCACTCTCACAGTGAAGAGGTTCCTCCTCACCTGGAGATGGAACCTCCTGTGTTTCAGCTTATGCCCATCTCCTCTTGTCCTGTCGCTGGCCACCAAAGAGAAGAGCTTGTCCCCTTCTTCCCTGCATTCTCCCTTCCTGAACTTATACATGTTAATCAGATCCCCTCTCAGCCTTCTCTTCTCCAGAGAWAACAGGCCCAACTCACTCAGTCTCTCCTCATATGAGAGATATTCCATTGCCTTAATCATCTTAGTTGCTCTCCACTGGACCCTCTCCAGGAGCTCCACAGCCCTCTTACACTGGGGAGCCCAGAACTGCACACAGTATTCCAGGTGTGGCCTCACCAGAGCTGAGTAGAGGGGCAGAATCACCTCCCTTGACCTGCTGGCAACACTCCTCCTGATGCAGGCCAGGATCCCATTGGCTTTCTTGGCCACSAGGGCACACYGCTGMCTCATGGTTAACTTGGTGTCAACCAGGACTACCATGTCCCTCTCAGTGGGGCTGCTTTCCAGCAGGTCAACCCCTAATCTGTACTGATGCCTGGGGTTATTCCTCCCCAGGTGCAGGACCCTGCCCTTGTCCTTATTGAACCTCATGAGGTTCCTCTCTGCCCAACTCTCCAGCCTGTCCAGRTCCCTCTGGATGGCAGCACAGCCCTCCGGAGTGTCGGCCACTCCACCCAGCTTGGTGTCCTCAGCAAACTTGCTCAAGGTGCACTCCGTGCCCTCGTCCAGGTCATTGATGAACAAATTGCCCATACAGGCAATTGCCCATACAGGCAACCATACAGGTTGCCCATAGTGGTTATAGAGTCTCCATCCTTGGGGATACTCAACTGGGCTCCGTTGAGAAGTGGAGAATGTGCTCCAGATGACCCTGTCTGAGTGGGGGGATTGGACAAGGTGAACTCCAGAGGTCGCTTCTCTATCATTCTGTCCTTCTGTGGTATCAAATTCTTTAGGCTTTTTGTCTTTCTTCCTTTGGTTAAGGATACTATCTTTTCTTGTCTGTTAGTTATCATTTGCAATTTCATTTTCTGTACTTATTGGGAGATACAGAAAGGACTAAAATTTAAAATATACTAATAGTGATTTTTTTCAACTATTGCACAAATTACTGATGTGGGATTGCTTGTGAGCAGTTGACAAAATGATAGTAAAGACAGTGAGGAATGGAGAAAAAAAGAGAATCCATATTCTCTGTGTGTAGAAGCACATTTTTAGTTTAACTGGATAAGAAAATAATATAATATAGAATTCAAGCTATTTTAAACATTTAAACACACAGTTTATATTGTCTTTGATTAACATTCCTAGTAAGGTTAAAATGCCAATAATCCAGTGAAATACTCATGTTCTATTTAGAAAATGGCAAAGGAAAAGTTAAAGCATATACCTCGCCTGTGTGAGTTTTCTGTTTGTTAATTACATTGTAGCTGAAGTATGTGGTTACCATCTGTTTCACTCAGCAATATTATACATTCAACAGAAGCATATTCAAGATGAAAATAAGATTATATAGAATTATCCTTCCCTTTTCTCCTCAATTATATTTCTTTCCTGGATAGTAAAATAATATATCCAGGGAACAAAAGCATAATTAAGGCTGCATAGATTTTTATGGAATATTCTAAAAATTTTTGAATTTAGAAAAAAAAAAAAAAAAAAACTGTGTTCCTTGGTATTTGTTCCTAAATATTTGCCCCATCTGTGAAACATCAAGTATTTGAGAAGGAGCCTGGATTGAAGAGTAAGACAAAAAGTGCTTAGGCAGTAGCACCTCATCAATACTTTAAATGATCATTTCAATTATACCTCAAGAGACAGCAAGGACATGGAAAACTAAGTAGAGTATATTTTAGATAAAAGTATAAAAACTCTTCTCAAGCAAAGCACTGGAAGTATATTAGTAACTGGTGTGTAGTTCATTCCCACACTCATCCCTTTTCTCCTTTAGTCCCATTCTTAGTTTATACCAACCCCTTTTTTCAACTCAATTTAGATGACTGAGTAATTTCAATATGCAATTTTCTCCTCATAATTTTTTGCCTCAGCCTCAAAATAAATGAGAATGTGTTGAGGCTCAAAAGTAGATATGTGAGACTCCTAAGAGGTTCTTAAAGGGGCAAGGTGATAAGTTTGCAAAAAATATTTTGGAGCTAAAATATTGAAAGATCTATTCATGGCTTCAACAGAACATACAATGAAGCAGAGGCACTCATTTATTATTAATTAAATGCCTTTTACTTTGTTCTGTCTCACACACACTTCATTCTTCTTTTCCATTCCAAGTTCCTTCCAACTCAAAGTGAATGTACATGCATGCATTTGTCATACAAACAGAAAGAATGAGAGTAGGAGAAAAGAAGATATAATACAACTACCAAGCATAGAAATCACAACAAGGTTAATGTTCTTATCATAAAATAATTCCATTGCTATGTTAACCTGTGATGGAAACAATATTATGGCTACAGAAAATGATGCTAACAAAACAAATCTTGGTAGTCTTTTGGGAATAATTATTTTACTGACTGGAGGAAAAAAAAAATGACCTCACTCAGTGATTTCTTCTCTTTGAGCACTAAAAACTCCTAAGGAGATTTAATAACAGTTAAGTAACTGCTTAAAATTATCACCCTACTGCCTGCTTGTTAAAACCTGTAAGATGAAACATTGCTAGGTTAAAAGGCTGAGAGACACTGCTATTTCTTCAGTACCCTTTCCTTTTTTCATCCAATACAAATGAAGCGAGAATAAAAACTCCACAGAGATGTTTCAGAAAGCAGAGGCATTTTTTTGATCAGAAAAGGATAGAGCCTTTGACTTTCCTATATTGTGTCTTTGTGAAAAGTACTAGCCATAATTATGGAGAACTCTCGCACTTTCCCAGCTGCCCTTGAAATAAAGCCAAATGGCAAAGCAATAAATATTTCTTGAAACATGTACAATCAACCTTTCTTTTAGGAAAAAACAAAAAAAAAAAGATAAAAATATAGTTTTACTACAAATCCATTAAATCTCTTCCTACCAAAACAGCTAGAAACATTGTCATTGATCAGTTGCCAGCATTACTTACATATAGGTAAGCCACCTAACATGAAAATACTTACAAATTAAATTCATGAACTTACTTGAAAACTGTATGGCAAATCCAGATTTGCTGATGTAAAAGTCTGTGTCAAATTGGATTGTGACTATGTTGAGTGTACTGTGAATGCCTTCAGGAACAAGAGATCCACTAATTTCCTTGAGTAACATCTCATTCTCAGGTGGTCCATCCCAAACCCGTAGAATGTCATGTGATGCCTCAGTATCAAAAGCAAGAAACTGGAGGCTGTAAGAATGCCATGATTCTACTGTTAGCTTTCGTATTACTTGACAACATAGCTTTAGATATAATATCAAACCAAGAAAGCAAATAAACATTCTTTTGTGGGTGTAGTTTTCCATATTTTTTAATATYTTACATATGTAAAACCCAAAACACACATACATGTGAAAGCAAAGTTCCTTTGAAACTAGTAAGATTTCCAGTTACTGTATATTACTATTTTGTATATTAACAAAGTAGTTTAAAATTCATCAACGTGTTTCATAATATGACAAGCAATTTGGGGGCTTGATTTTCATCAAATAATGTCTTTTGAAAAATAGCTAAACGTAGGTCTACAGATCCAGATCTAGGATGRCAGAAATACAGGCCTTGATATGCATGTGAAATCTTAAATTGTTATTTGTTAATTTTTATTTATTTATTTACTAAATAGGTAAGATTTAGCTATTACATAATCAAAGAGATTTGTTACATGTAATTACATGCGTATGTAATTAATATATGTAATATGTACATGACATGGTATATGTGATTTGTTATATGTAATGGTAATGTAATATTAAATATTAAATATAATCAGTACCTGACAATATTTCCTGGGTCTACTTCAATCATCCACATGCAACGCAAGTTGTTGTCATAAGGAAAAGGATAGCCAGGAGATAAGATTCTTCCTGATGATTCTCCTTTAAAACGACCTCCACATTCAGCTATTAAAAAGACCATTACATAATGAGTTACTTTCATTTTGTTACAGGTGGTCTTCCAACTAATCATCTGAACAATCAGTTTATACACCTACCTGTCTTGCTTAATAAATAATACATTCCAAATAGGTTAAAACTGACCATATTTCTTACAGTTTTAAGACAACACTTCAGTTCTTTAAATCCTTTGGGAAAGGAAGCCAAAGTATATTTTTATTTAAATTTTCCTGTATTTTCCTTTAACACCTGTGTTTTTTTAATCATTCTGAATGCAATATAATAATCAGAAAACATACCATTTTATAATGAAAGGAATAAGGGCACCGTAAATCTCAATAGCATAATGTCTCTCTAAAGCAGAGGAATAAAATCAACTATTCAAGTGAGTAAGGAGGAAAGAAAATGAAAACAAAACAGGGAGAAAATAAATTAAATAAAAGTAGACTAGAAAGAGATAAAATCATACTTTTGGCTTATATGAAAGAATTTTAAAACATCTTGCTAAAGAGGTGTGATAGTAGGGAAATTATATTATTTCTCAGAGGGCAGCAGATGGTAAGCAGCTCCCTGTTAGCTGGCTTCAGCCAGATATTAGGCAAAGCTGAATATTTCATAATCTTCACATTTAATCTCTGAGAAAACCTAATTTTTATGCAGATTCTCTAGGTTTTTAAAGCCTCCTTATTTTCCTTTCCTTCCTTTTAAAGAACTGTTAATGCTTTCTTTCCTGTGAAATCCAAAGCTCAAATAATGCTTTGATTAGATCTCTTACTAGAGTTAGAATGCGGTTTTAGTTTAATTTAACATCACCTAAAATATTTACTTGAGAGATGTATTGTGATCTCTATGTTCTGTGATACAATATTAGTGAAATGATACTCTTCATAGATTCTCTTACATATTAAAAGTAAATTTTCAGAGACAGGTGGCCTTTCATATCTTTTTTTTTTTTTTTTTAACATTTTTCCAATCTGTTAATTTCTAAAAACTCTTAAAAAAAAATAGTGATTATTCAACCAGATTATTCAACCAAGAGGACAGTCTTGTTTATTTTCTCCCAATGAATGAGGATATAGTACAGTGCTCTATGGAAAGCAAATTATTCACGGACAAACTGAGCAAAACTAAAAAGAAATTACATTCGCACCAGTGTACAACTTTCAGTATGTCATTTCTAATTGTCACGGAGGATAATTGGTTTGTTTTTCTATCAGTGTAGAAGGTCCCCTCTCTTTCCCTAGTGGTACTTTCTGCCTCTCCAGCGAAGCTCCTGCATTTGATGGGTGCTGACACGGGTGTAAGTGAGAACTCCTTGGCATTCATGTGGGTGACCATCAGCACCAAGGAGCAAGCACCTTCCTTCTCCAGAGTGTTCACCAGGAAGATGATCCTAGTTAATCAACATGACTTAGTTCCCAAGTGTCAATGTCGAAGATGATTATAAGGGTTTCAGGTTAAATGGAATATGCTTTTCTTTCTTTATGCAGACTCTGTGGGTAGTGCCTTGTTTTGCAATATTTACTGCATGTTTATTAAAACTTATAATAATCAGAACAGCTCCAAAGCATTTTTTTCTGTTGTCACTAATACATTTTTCTATTAAATTATATTAAATATATGGACATCTTTTTTTAAGCTCCAAATTCTGATTCTAACAGAAAATTGATGTGGCTTCTGACTTAATGTGGCTCAGAAATTGCTGGTAGAATCATTTTATTTGTAAATGCTGACATAAAACTTTCTGTACAAAGCATTACTATTTTCATTGATTCACAGAGCTTAGCTGAACAGTCTGTGTGCTCTGACAGAGTGATAGCATTGGTTTGCAACCAGTGCCTTGTAAACCCTAAACCCCAGCACTGGTAGTTAGCAGAAGAATAAACAAGTACTTTGCATAGAAAGAGCACCGGTATGCCAAAAACAAGCTTTTCTGCTAAATTTTCTTGTGTAGCAACAAAACCTAATTTAAATCTGATTCTATCTAAATGTGAATGTTGAAAGATTTCTATAAAACAGAAAACTGTTAGAACAATTTTATCAATTATTCATCTTCACTTCCTGCTCTTTATCTATTATAAACACTAAACTGRACTATTTGAGCATCATTTTGAGAGAGATGAGCATGATATTTTCAAGTGGGATCTCAATCTTATAACAATTCTGGCAGTATGAGACTTTGCTGTGTTGTGTTTCAGATATGTTTCTAACTTGGAAATGCTCCTTTCTTGTTTTTTTNTTTTTTTTTTTTTTTTTTTTTTTCTCTTTTTTTCTTTTTTTTTCTCTCCATTTTGTAACCATCATTCTCTTTCCTGACTTTCTTCTGACCCAGTTCTACAGGATATATCATTACTACAATCTACAATACCCTTAAAACCTTACTCTATTATTTCTCAACCCAGGAAGCCTAGAAGAAAGAAACTGGTGTCTTAGACATTTTACAGAATTCATACTGCAGCTCTTCAACCGATTTTGAAGCATTGTATAGATTCTTAATCAATATTAAAAAAAAAAAAGGGAATTCAAGAACCTCACTCTACAACTTGTATTCAAAATTTTTTTTTCAGTTTCTTAAGTTGTTCTATACAAAAGATTTCTTTTAATTAAATTGATTTTAAAATATATTTAGCCATAACAATTTAAACCTCATCTTAGAATCTATATAGCACTACTGATACAGAAAAAAGATTTACAGCAGATTAACTCCATCCTGACCACAAGTAAGAGGTTTTAATGCTTGACTACAGCAGAATATATTACTGAAATGAACAAAAGCAATATAAAGCATCTATAACTCTATAAAGCATTAAGAAAAACAAGCACTTTTCACTTAATGAAGAGATTAAGATAAAAAACAAAACAAACAAAAAAACCTTGACAACAATGCTATTTTTTTTTTCTTTTTCTTTCTCTCTCTCCTCTTTTCCCTCTGTGTACAAACTTTTATCAAATTAACCATGCCTGATACATTGTGGTTTTGCTGTATACATGATATTCTCAACTGGATGAATAAGTAGCCTCCCTGGTAACAGTTTACTATGTTGGTATATTTTGAATAAGATTAATTTAAATTATAATATTCCTTCATATCTGTCTTAGTATTCTTTACATTTTTCTTTTATCTTGTAATAATATATACATGTATATATGAAAATACAGATCTATGCATATATCTATTTATATATGAAAAATATTTCCTAACTTAAAGTTGCCAAGTAACAATAATAAAGAACATATATCAGTTTTATAAGCCCTTATAAAATTTATACTGTCTTGGTTTTTGTACTAAGCTGTCATTTTGTGCTGATTATTGGAATTATGTGGATATAATTAGGACTTCACTTATCAAGTTCATTATGCAAGCATTACTAATATTGACTACTATTGACATTGTGTATGCATGACTACTATTAGTAATATAATACTATTTTGTTTACAAAAAAAGCAACATAACTCATATTGATTCAAATGAATACCATATACATATATCTTTGATCTTATCTGTATATGTACAGATCACATTTTATATATCTCTAACAATTGCTCTCTTAAAACAAAAAAGTCCATAATTTAAAAAAAAATYTTATGTTTAGACAGTAGTTTAAATAAAATAATGAAAAAGAGTCTACTACCAATACATGATGGTAGAGGATAGTCCCATGCTCTTCTTTCCCCTGTCATACACTTTAGAAGGCTACTTCCATGGAGTGTGTAACCTGGATTGCACCCATAAATTATAGTGCTTCCAGCAAAATGTCCTTGGTCACTAATCTTGTATCCAAACTGTGGCACACCAGGATCCTCACAATGTGAAAGCTCAAAACCTGTGTTATAAATAAATAAATAAATAAATAAATGTAGTTATAAAATCAGACATGTACATTCATGAAATTTAAGGGTTTTTTTTTTTTTTTTTCCCTCCAATGAAAAACAAATATTTTAGATATTAAGAAAAAATCTATATGGAAAGAGTTGTCAAACATTGGAACAAGCTGCACAGGGAAGGGGTGGAGTCATCGTCCCCTGGCAATGTTCAAGAAACACTTAGACGACGCACATAAGGACATGGTTTAACATGGTGATGACATGGTGGTGATGGGTTTAYGGTTAGACTTGATAATCTTGAAGGTTTTTTCCAGCCATGATGATATAATGATTTTCAGGTCCCATGTAACACCATATTTAAGGTTTCTTGATTGTCTTTTAGTCATCTATATAGAATAATTCTGTTCATTGTGCACACATCATCCAAACTATCATGGCAGCACTTTATTTTTTTCTTAAAAACTAAGGACTCAGGAAAGAATTCATGATCATTATTGATCAAATCTAAAGCACTGTGATAGATTATAAACTACTTCAGTGACAGTCTATTTCCTCTGATGACAACTTAGTTTGTGAATAGTCATTGAATGTCTCAAACAAAATTTAACAGCAGATTTGTTTCTTGCTATTGTGTACAATAGCACCAGCAGCCCCATGGCATCTATGCCACAAAATATATGTTATATTCAATTCCTACTCTAACTATCCTTTTAATAGTTTGTAAGCTTAAAAACTGCAGTAGTGATGATATAAAGAATTAAAATAGAAGTTAGCCAATATTGAGAATTAGAAAATCTGGAACAAGGAAAAAATTGGTTTATATACTGTATGAAGGCAGTAAAATATTAGCATTTGGGGAAACAAACTGCAATTCAGAATAAAGATTTTCTATTCAAAATGTTCTTTGTTCTTATCAAGTGGAAGCAGCTTGAAGACTTACTTTATTCAAAAACTGAGCCCATACTACATGTAGGCAAAAAGATACCTTGTGACAGTTTGATATACCTATACATAGCTGATAAGGGACCAAATTAAGGGATTTTCATTTCTGCATTTTCCAATTAAGTCATTTTCACAGTATTTATCCAGCTGGTCAACAGTTGGTAGCCTTTCACAATCTGTCCACAGGTACTGCATCGTTACTACTGATTGATTGTGAAACTGTTCAGTATTTTATTTTACAAATAAAATGGTTCAGATTGTCCACGCCTGTTTGTTCTCATGAAGGAAAAAAAAAAAAAAAAAGTAGGTCAAATGCTGTTATGTTTATGGCTCTGGCTTCATCTCATTAAATGTCTTACTGAAATGGCTCATATCCTGCAGGGCCTCTACAATCCCCGAGATGAGCTTTTCTCACTTTGAGCTGAGCTGTTTTTTCCCAGTAGAGACAGTGTCGCCAAAATGCTAAAAGAGGCTAATGTGAGGCTTAAGCAAAAATCATAATCTTGATATCAACACAATGAATACTTATTGACCAGTAATAGATTCTTCTTCTCTAAAAAAGCCTGTTGATCAGATTGTGTGAAAAGAAGTGTAATGGGGCCTTGATTCCTCACTGGATCAGATGTCCTCACCTGGGGCAATCTGGTTGTAGACAGAGTAGCAAAATTGTCTTAGTAACTCATCATTTCCCTCTCATGGATTATGATAAAAGTGCCTAAACACAGATGTTAACACCATTTTAACTGCCCTACCATTTGTATTTGAGTCACCTACACAGTGCTAGCAGTTCAAGGGTAGAACTGGATCCTCCTGGAGCAGCCCCTCACAGCCAGGGACACACAGCTCCAGAAGGTACTAGATGGCTAATTTGAGCAGCTGAAAAATCACGAAGGCCACAGTGTATACTTGAAGGCACAGAGTGCTTCATTACAACTCACATGGATTTGATTGACTGCTTAAGAGCATCAATTCTGTGGATAATATTTTGAAAGACTCTTTTTTCTAGATCTACGAGAAAAAAATACTAAAAACAACAAAAACAAAAAACAGTATTAGTTACCTTCCCCAAAAGTTTCAATTCTAAATTATCATTGCTGTCTACAATAATGTTCTTATCACCAATATTAAGTGGACAATATCAGGATTAATGAGGGACTCAAATTGTGATAATTATAATCAATTCCATAGTGTTTTACTCTTTCATTAGCTAGAGTACTCATAAAGGCAAGTATTTATCTAACTTAGGAAGTATGCTTAAGAAACAAGCCTTCACCCTATGTACCTTTCCAGTGAAGGGAATGTCTACAGAAGTTTCAGCACTGTTCAGACTAGAAAATTAAGATTACCTAGTTTAACTGACTTGATTTATACTCTGAGGTCCCTACTCTTTCTGCCAAATACATAGGATGATTTATGCAAACAGCTGGGTAAGTGTCTGAAATAACACAATATGAAAAATTTCTCCTTTCTTTCCTGTACACAGGACTGTGCCATGGCTGGCTGCATGTGATGTAATTCAAGATAGAGACAAACTTAGTCGTTTGGGAAGAAACCATTGGAAGAATTGTCAAAATCTCAGATGAAGACTTCACAAAGTTAACATTACTATTTGCTAAATATCACAAAGCTCCTGGGATGTACCTTCAGTACCTTCATACACAGGAATCAATTTGAGTAAAAGACCAATTGTTTCTTACTGTTTTGGCTAAAAAAACAGATGATTAGCATATACTTTAGACAGGACATCTTGATACCGTCTTCAAAGCTAAAACTAGAAAGGGTAATTGGGTCACTTTGGCTAAATGAGCGTGCAGCTAGTGGACATATGAGATCCAAGCTCCATGATTTACATTGGTTTCCTAGTGGAATTTGAGGTCTGGAGGTTTTAACAAAGGGGGCTTAGAAAAAATGGAAAAAAGGTATCTGGAAAAATCACTTCATGTACATTTTCATAACATCATAGTAGAGACAAGGAGATGAAACTGCAAGCAGCATGCAGTGACAAACATCAACGCTGAAGCTGGTTCCATATCATGGGAAGACAGGCATGTTTATATTTCTGCCTGTATAATAAAATATGTATCTTTATGTTTTCTTTAATGAATTTTTAAATAAATAGTGAATCTTTACTATGATAACAGGAAAAGACATTCCACCTTATGRACTTCATCACTACTGCCTTTAAAGAGATGAATACCATATAGTTTCTGAGGTTTAGTGAAACTGATAAAATCTATATGACACTAATTCTGCACTGGAGGGCCTATCAAAAATTGTAGAGCACAGCCATATGCTATCACATATGCCTTACTATTGCCTAAATTTCCCAAATTTCATTTTAAAATTAATTAGAAGAATTTGTAGAATTTTGAAATATTTTCCTAGGATTCCAGTACACTTATATTAGTTTTATTGGAAAAGAAAGAACGCAAGACAGTGTTTTGAACAAGTGAATATAAATAGAGATAGGCAATGAGGAAGATATTAACAGCTGTACTTCAGGTTTGTCTTGCTAGGCTATTCTGCTTGCTAGAAACTCAGTTTTGTAAAGGATAATTCAGCTGAGGTGATACAAATATGTATGTCATATATCTTATGTGTCAATCATTTTCAGAAGTTATCATTTCATCAAATAGTCATACATAGCTGTTTTCTATATAATAAGTTGGAAAAATGAAAAAAAAAGTTTTAGTTTTTTTAGCTCTTGTAATGTTACTTTTTCTCTTTATGTAGTGGTAAGAAATTTGTTAGTAATCTTTCTTAACCATTTTGGATTCAAACTGGATTATTCTCAACAATAATTCAGTTTCATAAATTGCTAGTATGAGTATCTAAATGTTAAGAGTGAGGGACTGCTTTTACTTATGAATAATCTTTATGATACAAAAGTATTTAGCTATGCATTTAGAAATACTCAGGTGCTTAAAAAGTTTCATGTCCTGGAGCAAATGGCAGAAAAATTCTGCCTCTTTCTCTCTCTCTTTCTCTCTCTCCCCTAATCCTTCCAAGGCTGAAAACAAACATAGAAACACAAAACAAAACAAAAATTACCCTATTGAAAGAGACAGCAGTTTAAGTATCAAACTACTGAAAGCACTTCCAAGGCCAGAGTTTCATTACACTTACTGCTGCTTGAGGTAGAATTATGGCATTGGACTTTTTTGATGAGTAATGCATGAGATAATGGTAACATTCTGTTGATTTTTATCAGTATTTGATTTTGGACTGCATTTTCATCTCGTGACCATGAATTTTTGCTCCATAAATACCATAAATTTATTATTATTGTTTTCTCAAATACTTACTGGTATACACAAGCTGAAAACCTTCATCAGTACCCTCCAAGTCCGAGTTAAATTCCAACCATAAATGATTAGAAGTACTACTTAGTGTCAATCCTCTTAAAGATGCTCCAGTAAATGCACCCAACAGGTGAGCGGTGTTGTCTTTGCCATCATATATCTGTAAAACAAATGTCAGTTTTACAGTTATTAAAAAGTGAAGCACTTGAATTGCAAAATAATTCATTAAATTTCAATTAAGGCAGAGRACAGCTTTGCTAGGGGATACCTATTACCAGTCAATCCAGAGCACTCTTCGGATAAGCTCCTGCCTTTCTTGAATTAAGTTAATTATGTCAGCCTTTCAAATGGACAATTTAAAATATCTCAGTTCATATTCTGCATGACCATAGAAGTGGGCAGGGTTGCCATATCATCTCGATGTTTTTTAAACATCTGAGTTTCTCTCTTGCACTGCTAACATTATTATGCTGGGCACAATCTAGCAGCAAATACTTATTTTGTGTGGCTTTGTCTACCTCAAGTCACTGAGGTGGCATAACAGAAAAGCTAACTTCACCCAAACTTTGGTTAAATAAATATCTTTTTTATATAAGGAGAGGACCAAATATAACTGTAAAGTAAAAGCAGATAGAAAATGAGAATAAAATAAATAGAATAACTGCTTCTGTAAGTTGGACGAGCAATGTAATCTATATGTAAATTGGAACACAGTGTTATTATTATTTATTTTTCTTCAGTGGTTGTCTTCTTCCATATTTAAACTAGAAAACTTCCTTCAGACTGCTAATGTATAAAACAGTCTTTTAATAATACTCAGAATTTTTTCTTACAATTTTATTCCTTTAAAGTATCACAGGTAACAACCTGTGATGCAATCCTATAATTCTTAAAAATATTTAAGCTACAATCTAACAGTAGTTGCTAACTCAAGCACAGTATCCTATAAGATTTATTTAGTGACTTATATAACTACTAAAACTTTGATAAATGAGTTCTAAGAATAATTTCACTTGTAAATCAGGAAACTGACCRCTGAATAATTTTCAAACTGTCATACAGAGAAATTCTAAAGCTTTACTAAACAAATAGGAGATTGTCTGGATCTGAGTAAGACTTAATTGTATGAATATGAAATGTAATCAAAGTTTACAGTTGTAAAGAGAAATTTATAGCAGAATGAATCTAACGAAACCCATCAGCAATAGCAATAAGACAAGAATAAGAATGTGAAATACTATGATGTCTGCTTCTCATCGATGAGAATGATTATTATAGACTTAACTCCTATTTTGCAGGAATTGGATGTCTCTAAGAATACCACTTTTTTTTTTTTTTTAATGAAATATTAAAATAAAACAAATAAAGACATTGCTATACACCTCTAACAAATAAATAATTGTATAGCAGTTTAAAAAGCATAGCAAAATGACTTGGCATCTATCTTTGTTTTTACTGAAAAAAGTCGATAGACTGAATTCTAATGCTAACATTCATGTTAGCACTTAAATCAGCTTGAAGTAGGTTAAATATATACTTTAATGTTAAAATGGATGTCTTATTTAACTTTATTTATTTATTTTTAAATTATAGTAAGATCAGTAATCAAACGTAGCCAGAGGCAGAGCTGCGCAAAATCACTTTTGAAATGGACTTAGTTCTGGTTTGGAACCTGAAACTAAAAAAAAAAAAAAAAAAAACACCCACCATTACAGAAGCACTATTTCTATCCTACAGAGGCATGGCAATCATGACTGGCACAAGGAGAAGTAAACTTCTACTTGATGTTTCTTTTCCTAATCTCTCCAAGTTACTTATAACTAATAACATCCAAGGATTCTGGATTTATTTTATTTATAAGCACTGCATAAAAGCAATCCATTTTCTTCTGTTACATATGTGAGGACCACGAATAATTAACTGAAAACTGGAAGCTATCAATAAGTAGTTCTGCCAACTATTCTAAATAGCTTGCCAGAACTTCCCATAAGCCACTTCTTAATACATGTAACAGTTTTCTCAAACACATTTTATTGTCAATATTGTCAATGTCCTACCATATTAATCCTTTCACACTTGCACATTGCTTATTGTGAACACTCATATCCCTCCAAAGCTGGCATCAATTCTACTTTATGGATAACTGGCTGCCTCATTTTAAAATATATTTAAGCCTTTTTCACTTCCATGAAGCAACAAAATTTAAAGTGTCCTAAGGCTTATGAAACTTTCTGATATGTTATGTAAGGGAACTGATTTGGCTGAGGGAAGCATGTGATTTGTTTTTTAAAAAATATGGAAGGTAGTTGACTTAAATATTCAAAGCAACATTTATTCATTTTCTTGAGAAATTCTTTGGAATTCTTGGAAATTCTTTAGGACAATAAAAAGATAAACAAAGCACAAACTATATATATTTCATGCAAGTTACTGTGCCCTACCTGATAAATGATAAAGTTCATTCTATTCCAAAATTAACCTCTTTTTATGTATTTATCTTGCAAAGAAAGTGGTTACAGCCTACATTCTCTTGCATGATTTGCAGAAACAACATTGTTTTTCCAATCTTTCTACAGATGGGAGTTCATTAAAGATTTTGAATTAATGTGATAATAAGTACCACAATAATATTTTGAGATGTTATAGGGAAGGATTTTACAAATTAACACCACTTAGATAAATATGATTTGAACAGACAGATGTAATCTTATAYTGTTTTTAGGAGGAGGGAAGATTACATTTATGTTTGCATTTGGACAATTTATTATGAATAAATCTTTAGTGGAAATGAACGTAAGTTATTTATCTTCATTATATAAAATTTTAACAAGCAAATATTTTAAAGTGATTTTATTAAATTTATGCATTTTAATCAAACTCTTTTTGAGATTTGCCACTGAAACGAAGTAGGCATACGGATATGTAGATATGTGCATTTCTGAAGAGATGGAAGAACATAAAATCAGTAGCTCAGAGCTGAAGCTGTCAACGCCCCGTCATATACATCATTTATACCACATGCAAATAGAAGCACAAATATAAAGACAGAAAAGGGCCCATATGCTTTTTTTTTTCCTTTTTTTTTTTTTTTTCCTCCCCTATATTTATTACCTATTTCACACCCATGTGTTCAGCATGGTGTTGCTAAAAGAATTAGGATAGCATGTGTGGAGAATTCTTAAGAAACAAATTAGCAAAAGAAAACCACCCAGATACTTTCTCCATTTACGAATCATCAAGAACTGAATCAATGCTTGCCTATAAGTCAGAGAASAAACAAACGCTTTCTGAAATATGTGTATTGTGCAGGAGCACTGCATGAATATGCTGATCTGCACCAATGGAAAGGGAATCCTTGATGCCAGTTTTACAATTTGGTCCACTATTGCAATATTCCCTCCCAGTTGCTCCCTGAAGGCGGCAACCTCCCTGAGGGGTCCTTGGAGAACCAGAAAGAAAGCAAGCTTTATTACAGCAACTAAATCAATTCTTAAAGTCATGTTTTGGCCTTTTTTGCATTTTTTTTTTTCCTAACATGCCATCTTCCCCTCTACATACTGCWGGGTAAAAATGCACAATCTAGGGGATCCATATCTGGCATATGGCTTTATATTTACAATCTTTAAGAGAGAACTAGCTCTTTTGCTTCCGTACTATGGAATGCAGTCAGACATTTCATAACATACCATGAATCCTTTCCAATATCTRAAATTTTTACACTTCCCTCTCCCCTGCCCCGCCATCATCCTTAAAGGGGGTTGATTAACAGGGTCAATTATTTTCTATTAAAATAGCCAGAGTTTTGTTATTTTTTATGGACCATTTTCCATTCCCGTCAAAAATGAAAGTCCTGGAAATATGCTGACTTTGTTTCAAAAAGGATTGAGTTTCTCAAATTTGAATAAATTTCTGAAATTCTGTATGAAATGCATGCCTTTTTTTTTTTCCCTCTCTTCTTCAAAATGAGGTATCTTTACCTTCCTTTTTTAACAGTACACTTACAAATTTTTCAAAGACAAATATTGCTATGTATTTATAACTCCTGAAGAAAAAAGGAATCCATCTGTGTTTCTTATTGCTCTTTTTATTTATTTTTAAACATTAGCAAAGAACTACTCTCCTCACTATCACACTTCTACACTCAGGTAAATTAGTCCAATTTTAGTAGCAATGTTTCTATTTAGATTGAAAACTGAAAATAAGGAAGACTTTATATTATAATCTTATCTTACATTTTAATTTTGATAAAGGGTGTCTTTCCTCTGCTAAATTGGAAAAGTATGTTTGTACTAAAAACAGGTTTGACATTAAAGCTTTTTATTTTCAACTTAAAATAAAATGCTCACTACAAATAATGGACTACCTAGTAGAGCATAAAAACAGTAACTATTCCTTTCTGTGTAAATATTAAAGCTTTTCTTATTGCTGATAGAGACTACAGAACAATCAAAACTGATAGATGGAGCTGGAAGTGAGAAGAAAAGCACATAGAGATGTTCTGGTATTCTAGAAAGCATGAGTTCCTTTTCCTGCTCTAACAATTTAGGACTACAGAAACCCTATATATTTTTTATAATTTCCACACAAAAAAAGTATTAATATAAAAATATTAACCCAGAATAAATAACCCAGAGCAGTTATGTTACTAATAGTAAAGAGAAAAAAAGAAGTATATTAAATTAAAAAAAAAAAAAAAGAAAAAAAGGAAAATAAAAGAATGTTCTGAAGCTTCTCTTATATACCAGTTCAGGAGTGAAAAATGGGAGTTCCTCCTTCTTTTGTCCTGTAAGAGGGAGGGTAGTGATTTATTGGTGTCAGCCAGGCTGTTCCACTCTAGCAGAGTGTTCCTGGTCCAGCTATTTCATTGTTTCACTCATACTGCTTGTCAGGTATAAATTTGATCCATGCTCAGTTAATTCAACCAGAAACCAGCTGACCTTATTCCTTTATTAATTGACATATTTAAAGTTTAGGAGAATATTCAGCTAATTCAGACTTCAAATTGGAAATTTTGCTGCATAGCACTAATAATCTAACATATTGGCTCATTGGCTCATAGCTGGGGAACAAGATGAAATTCCTTGCCAACGTTTTTGTCTATGGTTATTTTGAAGAATGGATTCATCATCCATTTCACAACTAAAATCTGTACTTCAAAGGCTGGACTTTATCTGAGAAAAAATTGATATTTTGGGGAAGGATAGCCTTGTCTGAAAGCCTACAAGAAATAGCTTGATTACTGAGTGGTGCCTTACTTATCTATTTATAGTTAAAAGGGCCCTGTATAGTGACTCTATGTCACTCTTTTTTGTTGTTGTAACACTAAATGGTATCTACTTTTTTTTTTTTTTTTTAACTTAACAGCCTTCCATTGCCATATCTTTGCTATTCTTCACATGCCTGATAAATTGTTACATTTTCCTTAAAAGAAGTCCCAGTATATACTTGTCTGATACTGCAGTATTACAGATAGATAAACGTCAATAGTGTAAAGTATTACAAACTTAGAAATATCAAATGATTACCACCTACCTTAAGAACATCTCCTTGGGCTAAGTGAAACGTTCTGGCAGAAATATTGATTCCTTTCCCTGCTTGCACCTGAATGCTATAAATGCATTCATGATTGTTTTCATAGTTAAGAGGATAATTGGGGGAAAGTAAGATTCCTTCATTGTTTGTTGTGGCGGCTCCACATTCAGCTGCAAGTAAAAGAATATGTTAAGGTACATTTTAATAGAAAATGTAGCTATTTTCAGTAAAGATGATAATGAGAATGTTAATGCAACCTAGTTCAATGTGACTAACATTTATTCATCTCCAATGTGTTTGTGATAGAAGACTACAAGCTAAATTTCTGAAACATTTATATCAAAGTATGCTAAATCATATGGAGAGTTACAATCATATAAGTGTTAAATTCTATCTTCTGAATATTTTGAAGGATATTTCTTGAGGGATTTTCTCAGAGGAGATATACTCTGTAATTAATGAAATAGACTTCTCCAAAGAAGAAATTCTTGAAGACATGCCAATTAAAGGGAGGTAAGAATAATCCAGAGTGTTTTTTTATATATATATATACACTTATTTGTGCACATATGCACATATATACATATATGTAGATACATGAATCTTCAAACATATTTAAATGACAGAAGAGATTTTTTCTGTAATGTCAATGAATTAAAATAAACAGTATAATGAATGGTATAAAGCAGAATAGAAAAGTTATTCTAACTTATCAAATAATTCAAAAAAAAAATCTAAGTAGTCAATCCTAAGCAAGCCTACTTGTTTTCCAAGTAGGAAAACAATTACTCCTGAGGAAAAAAAAGATATTCCAGGAAAAGAACCTCACAATTAATGTGTTTGCTAATTATGGTTTATCATACAGAAAATTTAAATATGAAAAATCCTATCATACTTTGGAGTAGTTACATCATTTTAATTCAGATATTTTTGGAATTAAAGTACCAGCTAAATTAAATTAACAGAAGAAAAAAAAAAAAAAAGTAGAATTCCTTCCTCCTCTTTTTTCTATAGTCCTGTTACATGGCCACTGTGTGCAGAGACAACAGCACTTTCTTACTTTTTAATGGACTTAGGTTCATTTAACTGTACCAATAAACTTCCTGGGTTTATGTTTGTTTTCCAGAATTTCTACAGTATTACTGNAAAAAAAAAAAAAAAAAAAAAAAAAACACTGATAGCTTTACACCTGATTGTGTAAAGCTATGTGACATTTTAATGGATTGAAAAGACATTTAAACAACGTGGTATCTGTTTTAAGACCTCTAACTGTTAGCATCATTACAATTCCCTCACTAAACTTATTGTTTGAAACCTTAGGAAAGGAAAATATTAAAACTGTTTGTGTGCTAAATAAATAATAACCCATAAGTGTTCTTTCTATAAGCAGCTAAAAGCAACATTCATRACTATACTCAATAGGAAAGCCTAATAAATATACAAATAATTCAGAAGTCCTTGTCCTGTCTTAAAATACTTGGATAAATATACTCTTAGTAGAAGCAGGAAACCTACTAGTTCACATGATTATGTGTATCGCTTTATCTCACTCTTAAATAAACGGTCTTTTGCAGCTCTGGTGATACAAATGTCAGTTTGAACTATGGCACATAAGGATAAGTATAATTTAAAGTTTAAATATAACCTCTTCCATTCCACAGAAACAGAAAAGTCAAAAAAAAAGCAAGAATTTTTTTTTGCATTAAATACTGCATTAAATAGATCAAACACTAACTATTCAGCCATTTAACTAATATTTAAGRACTATCTTACATTTTCTGTTACAAATAAGGAACTTGTTCATGTTAGATAACATTTAAGCATATGATTTATCTTTCTTTCTTTCTTTTTTTTTTTTTTTAAAGAAAAAGGTAGAAATAAAGTTTAAGATGTTTAGAACACTTCTTAACCCTCATGGGGGTCTCTTTACCCTCATGGCATCTCATTCAAGAAGTTTAGTAAAAGTAGTTTTCAAAGCTGTAATAAAAAAGATGAATGTGTCCTATAGCATTTAGTTAATTCATAACTGTTTAAATCTGTTCACTGCAGGCTATAAAAGTAGTTTTCATTGTGCATTTTCTCAGAGAATCAACCATGTAGACTGTGAATCAAAACAAGCAAACAAATAATAATAATAATAAAAAAGAATAATTCTGAAGAAGTGCAGCATCAGAAGCTGATAGACATTCAATATTTTGAGTCTTGCCAAATTATACCATAGACAATTCTGTCTCTCAGATTCCACTTTGATTTCTAAGCCTTAACAGGTTTTTTAGTTAAAATGTATATGCAACTTCAAATTATCTGTGGTTTCCTTCTATTCACTGATGTTAGTGAATAAAACAAAACAGAGGGTAATATCTGTATGTTTGGTTAAGTGCTGAAACATTAATTAACAAATTACAAGAGAAATACAAGAGAAAAGAAAAACTTCAGAAGTACTTCAGAAATAAAGGAAAAAAATAACAGGCAAAGAGAAAGGTTAAGACAGTCCTTTAAAAAAAAATCAATTAGAGCTACATCTATTACCAAATATTTCCTCACTGTCTTAATGTTTCATTTTAGTAAAATTATTTATTTAGAAGAGAGAAAATCCCCGTTCTTTTAGTGACAAAATATACTTATTATAGCTGAAAATAAGAATCTACCCTGCATATTTTGCTTGTAGGTGGGGAGAAAAAAAAATAAATAAAATAAAGACAGTAAACATATTCCTCTGTGAAGGAGGAACTGTAGAACAGTAGAAAACACCCAGCTATGTATTGACAAGGATTTTAAGTGGGCATATATTGAGCACAGTATAATGATATATTTGCAATAAAGCACTATTTCTGGACTTTACCAGTAATGTAAAATTGGTTCAATATTGAAAATGAACAAAACCTCACAAAAAATGTCATGAAAACACTCATGTAATGAGCTAACTGTTATAAGAAATAACTATTATACTTTGTCATTTTATAAATGTATGTGACATTTTCATAGTAGAATAGATGAGTTTATGATTTATTTGTGTATTTAAATTCTGTAATTGTGTAAAATGTCATTGTTACTGTAAACAAGGAATGAAATGCATCTGTTTAGGTAATTCAGTCATTTGAAAACAATTATTTAAAGAATGGGATTTTTTCAAATGTATTCTATTAAGAGGATTTTACAAGTTTTCTCACCATTCATTTGATCAAACGCCAACCACAAGTAACCATTGAATGGCAAAATGTGTCTTTTCTGTTTTAATCAAAATGTGTCTTTTCTGTTGTAATCAAAAGATAAGAACTACAAATAGTGGCTGCATATTTTCAAAATATGTTATGCCTCTTGGTAAGGAGGCTAAACACGTGGTAGAAGCTCGGCTGGGAAGTAAATGGAAGTGTTCTTATAAGGATTAGATCTTTAAGCAGTAGTGGCAGCAGACTGAAAATTAACAGCTACTTCAGAAAGCATATCTAAATTCAGTGGTCAACAAATTCTTGCTCATAAATCTCTCCGAAATGAGACCAATTCAGCTGATGGAATAGGTGAGCAAGATAATGGGAGTCTTATCAAAATCAGACAACAAAAGAGAGAATAACAAGACAATTCTGAAAGGATTAAATTTTTAGTGAAGCATTCTTTCCTTGAACACTTGAGTTATGGGGTCACCAACTGATTTCCAGATGTTTATTTTTCTGTTTTTCAGCTAATGCTAAGCTGACAAAGAAATGAAAACATTGCTCTTCTTACCTTAGCATGAGGGCAACAACAGAGAGCAGCTTTTGCTTTTATTTTTTCCATATGACCAGATTTCCTTTCATAGAGTAAAAAAAAAATTACCACCATTTGTGGCTAAATATGGGTGACTGTCTAAGCCTCTTTCAGCAACTAAGGGAGTACCTATCATATTCAATAATCAAACTGAAAAATCAAACTTTTCTTTCTAAAGTAATATCTTGCACCCCAGACTTCCCTGCTCAGATTGACTAATTCCCACTGACTGCAAGTAGGAGCCTGGACAGCTAGTGCAACAGATATGCTATTGGTAACTGAAGTTTACAGGGAGGGATTATGTTCTTGTTGGCAAATAAATCATGGCAAGGTAAAGAAACTCCTTTTAAGAGGAATGATAATGATTCCAATTTTTGACCACTGTGTGAACAGTGGCATGGTAAACCCTATAGAAGATCACAATATGAGAATATAAGGCCCTTAAGCAACAAAAAGGAACAGTTCAAACACTTTTTAAAATACTGGAATATATAAGAAATTGTAATTGATAACAATTCACTATCACACTGGCATTAGCATTCATATAGCAATATCATACTAATGATGTGATGCTAACAGATGGTGTGCCCTCAAAGGCTGTGTATTGCTTGTTTAGGAACATCCTATCCCCAAAGAAAACAACAGAAATAGAAGATATTCCAAGATGACAAAAGATGTACTTCAAGGAATAAACTTCTGATTATCAAGATTAGGAATATAACCTTTTACACTTTTATATTTTTTGTTCCATGGGCATCCTCATCAAGGCCCTTCACTTGAGCTTTGTACAAAAGCTAAACAGGAAAGCAGGAAGAAAACTGCCACTTAATAAAATACGCCTGAAAAAAGTCTGAGAAACATAATATATATGTATAGATTTGTCTGTAGTCTGCTTGTCTGTTTTCCATGTATGGAAGAATGCACATTGGAGACTCTAACCCTTTGCTACTGCCACAGATCCAGAAAAATGGACAGAAAATATTTTAATAAGAATTTAACTAAAAGTAGCATATGAACAAAAGGAAAAAAAGACTTATAATCTGTCTTCCAGCCAATGTTTAGCTATACAGCCTGAGAAAGAAAAAGAGTTGGTAAAACAACAAAGACTTGGTTCTTTTCTTTATGAATACCCAGAAGCAACTGTGGGTTTCAAGTTTTGACACAGCAGTTGCAATAAAAGGTAATCTGGCTCTAAACAAGTCTTACAGAAAAAAAGAAGGTTGGGAAGAAGTAAATAAAAAAAATGATGAATGGATGGACCCTTCCATCCAGACACTTCATCATCTTTGTTGCCCTCTGTTGGACCCTCTCTAGAAACTTCACATCCCTCTTGTACCTGGAAGGCCAGAACTGCACCCAGTACACCAGGAGCGGCCTCACCAGAGCTGAGTAGAGGGCAGGATCACCTCCCTTGACCTGCTGGCAA